AAGAATTCTGTTATTTTTTCTTTAGAAAACGTAAAGATTTCCAATTAATTCCAATTCTTGTGGGTTCACTCGATTCATCGAAATTAGAAAAATATGGACAATTATTAGCACCTTATTTATGTGATTCAAAAAATTTATTTGTTATTTCATCTGATTTTTGTCATTGGGGTAAAGTTTACAGTTTTTATTTTCTCAAAAATAAAAAGATTATCAATTCTTTTTCTTTTGTTATAGGTCGACGGTTTTCCTATACACCACATAATCCTACCGATGGTGAAATCTGGGAATATATTGAAAAATTAGATCGTAAAGGAATGGATTTAATTGAAAAAATGAGTTTAGCTGATTTTCATACTTATCTTCGTTCAACAGATAATACAATATGTGGTCGATATCCAATTAGTGTTTTACTTGCTGTATGTTTTTCATAGCATCAAAATTAATTATTTTTTTTTTCTAAATAATTTTTAGACAATTGAACAAAGTAAAAAGGTCGTTCCATCAAGTCAATTACCAAAATTTTCTATGCAATTTGTCAAATATGCTCAATCAAGTCATGTGAAAAAATCGAATGACTCAAGTGTTAGTTATGCATCGGCTGTTCTAACTGTTGTTGGCTAAGATCAGCATAGTTTTCGTTCATAAACTTTTTAAAACATTGATTATTTTTTGTCTTAAAAAGTTGTTCATTATACTTTGCTCTGTTTAATATTCATTATTAACTCATATATATATATTCTTTATAATAAAACAACCAAGAATTCGTTTTAGAAAATAAATTATCAATGCGTATAGGTAATGATAATATTAATGTAATTTTCTTTTTCAAGATACAATACTTGGATTTAAATACTTCACAGAGACCGTCACAGGGCAGAGCAGGACAAAATTTTTTGCCCTGCTAACTTTTTCCTAGAAACATTAGTTAAAGAAAGATTTTCCATAGAATATCTATCGTTTCTATCAACGATAGTTAACATAACTATCAACAAAATCTTATCTTAAATTTGATTCTTTCACAGCTTATCATAGTATAACTTTTCAGATTTTCATCGGTTTTTTGTTGCTTCTGATATGTCATTCATGTTTGTTATTATACATTGAGTTTAGTTGATAGATACTTCAGTTTTATTTCAATATTCTATTACTCTCATATATGAATGTATCCATCAAGATATCCAAATAGTAACCACATTTTTTAATTCCTACTTCTTGTAGAATCCTATTAACAGAAGCTCCAGATTCAGCCTATGTATTTCAGTGCACAGCTTTTAATTTTGTTATATTAAATAAAACTTCATCAACTGGACGTACCAAAAAATAAAATATCGTTGATACAACTCAGCCAATAGCAAAACGCACTTTCGAATGAGCAACAAACAAAGGTACAATCTATTATAAGGTTTACTAGCGTAGAAAAGCTAACCGCATAGGAACTTAGCTATTCTACTAATGTAAAACAGTATAAGCACCCAAACTTTCTATTTTGTATGACTCTTTTCAAGAATAGAAATGCGTAACAAAATAGGCAAACAAGGATTTGCTTTACAAAAATTATAAGCAGTGGTGGATGATAAAGAGTCGAACTGTCAGAAAACAGTAGGTAAAGTGAAATACACCCAATAAAAAGATAATTGACATGTTTCAGCACAACTGCTACAACTATAGTTGACAATATTGTTGCTGTGAATCCCATTTTACTTATAGTCATCATTCAAGCACCTAATGCCCCTTCTATATATTTTATTCATTTGTGAAAGATTCAGTATTGAACTCGATCATGAATTTCTTTTCAAAATGTTGCTCAAAATAAACTTTGCTTCAAAAGTTAGAAAAAAGGATGTGAAAACCTGAAATATCAATAGAAAGCGTTCGAAAGGTCAGAAATGTCTTCATTAAATAGCTAAATGTTTCTCTTCTTGAAAAACATTATCATCATTATTATTATTATTATTATTACTATTATCTATTTGGTTGTTATTGACTATATATTTTTTGTATTTATAAACAGACAATAAAAACATGAATAAATATGTTAATTCGGTTGTTTAAAAAAGAAACTGAAGAACAAAAACAATGCAAATAAAGTCTAATTTTCAACTAACTAGAGTCACAGATTTATATTTTTCTTTCCCTGAAATTTCGTTTCTTTTTTCTCTCACATTGTAATATTTAGACGCGTATATATTTGTTCACGTGATTCTCGTGATAATGTAACATTAATTAATGTAAATAATTTATAAAAAAGTATATTATTTAATGTGTAATTCATTGTATTTAAGCCATCAAGACTATAATTATAATTTGACTTAAATATTTTTCCATTATCAGGATTAGGATTAGCTGCTGTATGATTAAATGTACGAACTACTTTATAACGTGCTACTTCATTAGAATAACGTGTAACTACTTTTTGTAATTTTCTAAGAACACGATTGTACATATCATCATCTTCTTGACCCCAACCCCAATAAACTGTTGCA